TAGACTGGCAATCAGTCCAGGAAAGGAAAACTCTGAATTCAAAACCTGAGGAAGGTCATTTGTGCACCAGTTCTCTGTATTTGGCTCTTCCAAAAGTGTGGTGGGTTTTGCAGAAGCCTTCACGACTATAACCAGTAGTCTATTTGAGCTGCTGAACCATCATATATTGAAAATGAGGGAGAATCTCCATATATATATATATATATATATATATATATATATATATATATATATATATTCAATTGCTGATACCACCAGATAAATGGACAGTGAGATTCCCAGAGAGTCTGTCGATGAAAATCTTTATATATAATAAATGATACTAATACATAAATACATATGCAGGTAAATGATATTTAGTTTCTTTTAAAAAAAAAAACGGATAAAACTCATTTTTTAGATATTTAAATATATCCATTAATATTTTTTCACAAATAATAACTAGAATTAGATAAAATGCTACTATAAAGATATGGTGTCAAAATATGGTGAACACAAGATTCTAATCAATTTTTGGAGCTTGTTTGAGAAAGAGAAAAAAGTTTACAGACACATTTACAAGATGGAATGGAAACTACAGAAAGTTTATAATTACAAATCTGATTGAGAGCCAAAGGTATTGAATTTGCTTCTCTGAACTAAATTCATTCTTTAGTCACAAAGATTAGGTAACCAGGGCCAAGATCTTATCACAAGTATGTTATATATTATCTTATATATATATATATATATATATATATAATTTAACATGGGCATGTGGGCGAGTGATTAGAACGTTCGCTTTCTGACCATGAGACCCAGGTTCAAATCTCCCCATGGTCGATTTGTCAGGAATGAGACTTCTTGATGTTATCAGAATGAGGTCAATACCAGCATGAGGCTCCTTTGGAAAGTGCCTGAAAACCATACCACAGGTTGACCCAAACTTTGTGAGTGAAATTGGGTAGACGGAAGTCTTGAGGACTGTCGATAGCTGTGCTAGCACAAAGCCACAAGTCATTGTGGCCAAGGGCTTGAGCATGCTGGTCTTGTTCAATTTGTTGATCATGCTAGATAACATGCACTCTCCTAGAAACTGTAACTAAGGTCTGCTCAGCATATTGGAGTATAAACTACAGGTGGGCTCTGTGGGTGTTGAACAAACACAAATGTGCCTGAGCAAGCTTCTGCGACAGCCGACCTAGTAGATGGGTATCCTCAAATATGAGTGGCCAGCTATTATTATATATATTTAATAAATTTGTGTATGTAATTCTGACAGAGTTATAAGTTTTTGACATTTGGAAAAACATTCATATATATATATATATATACACACACACACAGAAACCAAAGTGTTGATACAACCAGCAGAAAGCCAGTCAAGTGAACAAAAGAAAATGTAACAAAAAGAAAAACTAACAACCAAACACCTACCTAAACAGTGACAGAAAGTGGTCTATGCCTCAATTACCAAAACACAAAAATTACAGTTTCCAGTGTTACGACACAGAAAGTGATAAAGTCTGGACTTCTACTTAAATTTCACACTACCACAATCTTCAGTCAACCAGAATATACAGGGTGAGATGGATAAATTATCGCCATTTTGTATTTTTAATTTTGTGCATGCACATTGTTTTTGATTTTGTTGACTCTACAGTATAGTAAGTTCAGTTGGAAACTGCCTGTGAGAAAAAGAGCAGCAATTTGGAAACAGTATGCTGTACTGCTTGGTATTCACACCTTAAACTCCAATATGAACATTTCAAAGGGTTTGGGTGTCAATCTGAGGACAGTGCAGAGAATTTGGAAAGAGTTAGATGAGTCTAAAGGTGAAAGACCCTATGTCTGGCAACAGGACTCTGCATCATGCGACACAATCAGGAGAACCTTGTCATGACTGTCAGACAATTTCTGTAACCACATCACCCCTTACATCTGGTCAACTAACTACTCAGACTGCAACCCTTTTGATTATTGTGTGGGGAGCAGTTGAGTGAGAGACTAACAAAACTCCTTGTAACACCAAATAAACCAAATGAACTGAAGGCAAGGATTATGGTAGCATTAACCAACTTAAACAAGGAGACCATCTGGAAGAGTTGCAGGAGATTCCAAAGTCATCTGGTGGCCATGGTTAAAGCCAATGGGGATTTTGTTGGATAAATTTACTCTTTAGTAATACAAGACATTTTTGTGTAATTTTGGTAAATATATCTGTTAAAATGAGATGTCAGAGTTGTTTTCATTTTTGTGTAATTTAGACAACATCCATTGAACACTGTATACATATATAATAGAAAAAAGCAGGAAAACCTTTTATGCCAGTACATTTTGTTTCTTCAAGGCAAGCATAGAAATTTACTTTAATAAACTATTTATTTATACACAAAAGTAATGTGGAAAAAATAAAAAATTTAAATTGGAGAACACTCTAAACTATTCTAAAAGCATACCAATTATTTTTCAGTCTATTAAACAAAAATTAGTTCATTTTTTGCTGTTATTATTGATTTTTTTATGTAATTAATATTGATATTTTATTTTTATTTAATTTTATTTTATTTATATATTTACTTAATTAATTTTATAGAGAATACAAAAGAAAAGTTACACCAGTGTTAAATATGCATAAAAGAAAAAAAAGAAAAAAATATAAGCAATAAATTGCTGATAGCCTTTGAAGATTGAAGGAACATATATAAGTTTTATTAAAGACAACTAATAAGGTACTGTGATTAAATTTTTTATTTCATCTTATTTTTCTTGTGTTCATACATGCGTTTTCTTTTCTGGACACAAAGAACTTTTGGACAGTTTTTACACACTTTGTAAACACTTGTATGAACACAAGAAAAATTAAATAAAAAGCTTAATTGCAGTACTTTGTCAGCTATCTTTAAAGAAACTTGTATAAAAGAGGGATTGCTGCCCAAATACTATATATATATATATATATATATATATATATATATATATATATATATATATATATCACTTTAAATGTTATTTTTAGTGGATACTCATATTTGAGTGGATGCTTTATTTATTTATTAAACAGTATATTTATTTATTGTCATCTACTGGCCTGAATGTTCAAGAAATCTTAATAAAAAAAAATATGCACTCTCCAGCAGGATTCAAACCTACACCGCCTGAAGAGATAGAAAGTGTCATTAAATCTGACATGCCTGAGGGACACAAGTTTGAATCCTGCTGGAGAGCACATTTTTTTAATAAGATTTCTTGAATATTCAGGCCAGTAGACAAAAATAAATAATGCCAGTGATTGGCTATTTTATTTTATTGCAGGGATTTGTTTTGTAAACAGTATGTGATGCTCAGAGCCCCTGCACAGAAAACAACTTTTTTTATTTTGTGTTTTTCTTTCTTAGGATTCACATCTGGCTGACATTTAGAGTGAATCAGCAAGAGATCTAATTGCAGAATTGTCGAGAATAACATTTGCAATGATATTAAATGCAAGAGGTTCTTGAGGCAAACAAAATGAAACACCACTGCTTTCAATCAAAACAATTGTTAGGAATAACCAACAGAATATATCTAGCAGTTACTGTTGGTCAATCTCCTCATAGATGAAGAAGAGATTTGAAGCAACAGAGAAATAGTTCTACTGATGAATGGTAAGAATACTATAGACAGAACATGTGAATAATGAGCAAGTTTTCAGAAGCTACAAGGAAAGTGTCAGAAGTTAGAAAAAAAGATGGTAGGAAGCTGTGGAAAGTTATGATCATCCAAATCTTGAAGGAATATATCAATAACAGAAGTAGGAGAAATTACTATTATATGACATTTAATGCTGGACAATCTCCACAAATCTTTTATAACTAAGATTCATCCAATTTCCCTCCAGCCAACCTAACCTTGGGTTGAAATGATAAACGGTTTGTTAGATAAAATGTAAATTAGTCAACTTAATAAAAATGTTTTTATTTTTTTATTATTCAGCAAATTCTATGTGGAATTATAGCAAGGGTCAAATTCTCAGTCTTGGGCCACTTGTCAGCATCAGGAGCATCTGGTTTTCGGACAATGGAAGAACATTTGAAATTTGAGATTAATTGCAAGAAAGCAGTCATACATTGGTGCCAAGATAAAGACAAATTTAAGTTTTATGCAACATGCATAGAATAATACAGGATTAGTCCATCCAATCACTATAAGAGAGACACTTCATTTGAGAGACTATAAATTAACAAACACACAATTACTAAACTGCAGTATTGTATCAGTATAAAATAATGCTACAAGAATCATCTTCTTTGATGTGATAGCTGTTCATTATTTAAAATAAACAAAAATTGTAGAATGCTAACCATGAGTTGGGTGTTTATTGATTGTGCAGAGAAGACATTTCTTTCCAATCGCAGAAACAAGAAGTCAAAAAGGCCTATAAATCACAACACAAAACCATGAGCACACAATATATTAGACAATCTGTTAATTTGTTTTGATTTAGTTTTCTACAACTTATAAACTCTTTGCAGGTCATTTAAAATCAGAAAATATTTTAGCTAGTAATAATTTTGGGGGAGATAATAACTGGTTAGTGATACAATTATTACTAATTAACCCATAGCTAGGAGAAGAAGTAGATTCATACCTTTCCTAAGGGTATTTGTGTGTAAGTGAATATAACAAAACCAACAAGAATTGGAACTTGGCCCTCCAATTTCAACTTCCAAGCCATTATCTATTACACCACCCACACATCCAAACTTACAGCACCTGGTATTCCCAAGCAGTCACTTATCTAGATTTTGACCAGGTTCAACATTGTTTAAGCCTTGGTGATCATATGGTAACCAGTGTTTCAATGGGAAACTGCTAATTTGTGAGGTGTTGAGGCCACAAAAACTACCATTATTGATCACAGGCATAGAAATCAACAGCTACAGTTCTGTAAAAAGTTCATAAGACTAGAAATTTGACAAATGCAGTGAGTTAATGAATTTAGAAATTGCTTAAAATTTTAACAAAAGAGTTTTACTTACTGCCGAGAGACACTGCATGCTCGGATTTAAATTTTTGGAGATGCCGTATTTCAAAGTCTTTTTCTTTTAGCAATTGAAAAAGTCTCCCATTTTCATCTTTGAGTCCCTGCAAAGTATCCATTTACCATAAGATTAGATTGTATTAATAGACAAACATAACAGACATTTACAAAGCAACAAACATCATTTGGAATTTTTGAAGAAGTGATGTTGATGCAAATATTATACGCAAACATACAGGTGGAGACCAAATGATTCTGAAGGAAAGTAGGCAGGGTTAATCAGTATCAAAATCATAATTATGCTTTTATCTCCATTAGTAAGTTATTTAACACCTGTCTTAAACCTTGCTATTACCTCAGGTCAATAATGGATCATTCCATTTTGAATGAAAAGGGAAGATAAAGGAAATGATAAAGTCTGCATCAGTGAAATGAAAAACCTTGTCAATTTTTAACCTTTTCATCTGTAGCCTCTTACTACTTTAAATATGTCGTAATTTTCTTGTGTATAATACACCTTAAGTATAACACGACCAAGGTAAAAACAGGGAATAAATGACATCATTGAGTATAATATGATCCTGTGGTGCAGTTGTCCCTTTGTAAATTTTTTTGAAAAACTGTTTATATTATCCCTTAAAATCTCAATGCCATACATGTATTTCACTAAAATATTTAATTTTTCATGATATTAAAGAATAGAAATGAATTAGATATTTAGCCATTGCAGGTTCCTTCTCGTAATCCCCATTTTCAAACATATTTTCTAATTTGGGGGGGGGTGAAAGGTGCTAACTAGATATACCTGGTAATACATTTTAAGCTGTTAATTAATCCATCATGTTTTCTGTTTGATATGACTTTATTATATTTCTACATATTAATAAACTATGAAAATAAAAAATACTGTCTTTCATTAAGAATGAAAAGAGAAAACTTTATAACAAAACAAGAAAATCAAAATATAAACAAACTGTGAGAAAAAACTGAGTGTATTTACAATCTTTCTATTTCCAATAAGAGGTTTTCTAAGCTGAGTAAAAATTTCTAAAGACATGTTCTTGTGTATAATACAATGTTCTTTTTTGCCTTTAATTTTTGTTCAAAATTTCTTGCATTATGCTAATAACCTGCATTTATTATTATGATTGTTAATGCAATATTTTGCTAAAGTTGTTAAGCTCAAATATTTAACAATGCAATCAGGGAATTTCTATGGGTATTTTATGGTTGTGGAACTCGCAAGGAGATTATTCAATCATTTAATTTAGAATTATGATTCATCAGAAAATTCAAATAAGAAAACCGTGAATTTTTCATTTGTACACTGAGCAATTTTATAGTATTTCCAATGACACAGAATCCATTTTAAAGGTTGATAATTTAAAAAAATAAAAGGGAAATCACAATCAATACATGAGAATTATAGTAACCACCACTTTCAGTTACCCCAGAAATATACAATTCATAATGGCCCCAAAGTGCAACACTGGTGATGTTGACAATTCAGATATGCCATAGAAAAGCTGTAAGTGAAAACATGAGAGTTGTTGACTCAATAAGGTGTGGGAATTATGCCCACCTTGTTTGCCAGGATTCATTGTTTCAGGACTATAAAAAAAAATACTTGCTCTCTTTTTGCACTGGAACATAGTAGCTACAACAATGAGACTCTTTCCTCCTGAGAAGACTTCTTAGTCCCTGACAAACTGTCTACAAACAAATCACATAAACATGCACACATTACACAACTATGCCTATAAATGTATTTTCTTTCTTTTTATAAGCTATCTTATAAAGACGAGAAAGAGAAAATTATATTCACATATATACACATGTGAATATAATTTTCGCTTTCTCTTCTTTTATAAACTATATTGTTAATCTCTGACTGTAAGTAATTTATAAATTAGGTTTTATCATCAGTATGCCTGTATAGGAAAAACAGTATATATAGGGCTCAGTACTATAAAACATTTCACCACAAAGCAAGGTGATAAAGCCACTAAGACACAAAGGGTTACTGAGAGTAGAAGAAAATAAGAAAATACTTGTGAGGAGAAAGGATAATGAAAGAACGTGATCCAAAAAGACAGAAGGTGGCAGTTAATGTTGCATTTAAATTTTCTAGATTGAAGTTTACGAGAAAGCAAGAAGCTAGATGAGAGTTCCACAGATGAGAAGTGCTAGAGAAGAAACAATTAGAATAGAAATTATGGTTAAAATAAATTTTGTGAACAGGCATGGTTTAAAGTGATACATTGTGTGATTTTTTAACCAATGGAGAAAGTTACACCTGCATAGTATTCAATTTTTGACTCAATTTGGAGCCAATTTATGGCTATTTAAGAAGTTTGGTTTGTCTGAGGAACAGAAGGGTTTTGGCTTTCATAGGCAATCGAAAAAAGTGTAATCAAAAAAAAAGTAAAAGCAGAATAGAGAATATTCTATAAGTTTAGAGAGATATACAGTTATCTTTCTATAGTTATTTGTGGAAGTTTGTCACAAATATCTGAGGTATTAACCCTGATTCCAAAGTTGTTATGAAAATTCAAAATTTATCACATTTTTGAATCTCATTTTGTAAAACTGAACTATTGTCTAAAAAGTGAAAAACCAGAAACCCAATGACACCTGAGAAGTCTTCCTTCTCAACTCTTTTTTATAGTTGAATGTATGAAAGCAAGTGAATATTTTGCTGATAATAATAATTGTTTTTATGGGCCAAAGAGAATTGTATTTAGAATTTGTTATTTTGCCTAAGTGTTTAGCATACAAAGTTAAATTTGTACATGTTTGTTTTGTAATTTTGTTAAATATTTAATGAGCTAGTCTCACTAAGCATTACTAAAGTAGTGAGTTTAAACCTTGCTGAGCTCCCTTACTTGTGACCTTGTATAAGAATCAGCTATTCTTAGTAAATATTTTCATAAAACATTTTCTAAACAGAGTAAATCTTTTGCTCAAAAAGTAACATATGTATCTTCTTTACTCGATGGCTGTCACCTCAATGTCAGGTATGACTATCGCAAAATTCCTTGCAAGATCCAGTTGTGACTTGAACAGATCTGGCTCTTTAAGACAAAAAAAATTTTAAAACCTCTGGCACAAAGTTGGCAGGTGTGAAACCTACATTTTGTTGTCATTAGGTTAATTTTTTGTGAATGTTTGTATGTTTTTTCAACCGGCCAGCTGATTTGTACACTTGTCCACAAATGTGACATGAATTGTTAGTATTTAATTCCATTCCAATATTCTAGTACGATGACTTTGCATATCACTCAGTTTTGTTGCTTTATGCAAACAAAACCTATTACAAGCATTACAGGTAAGATAATACCTGTTACCTATATGGTCTGGAATTTCCACATTATGACATTTTCATATACATCTTTTTAGATTTTATAGATACCAACACGTATATCTGTATGTGTGTAAATGTGAGAAGTAGTGTACATACACATACATATGTAATAGGGTCAATGTTGAGGTAGTTAAAGTAATTAACCCCTTGTTATATGTATTTGTAGTAGATAGAGGAATCTGATTTACTTTTTTTTATACTGAAAACAAAATGAATTATAATATAAAACAATAACATAAACAATAATACTTGAGACACATGTTGACATTAACAAGAATTTGTATTTTTCTTTTTCGTGATGTGAATTACAGATATTGGTATGGTGTGTGTTAAAAATGTTCTCAGTGTTACTGTCACTTTTGTTTCCTTAAAAGTTTGTGCTTACTTGTTTTTTTGCTTGTTCCAAGAATTTTGTTGGTAAGGATAATGTTTGAGATTGTCAGTTTTTGACTTTGAAGAAGGGATGAAGATACATGTGTGACACAATTTAGCTATGGTAATTGGCTAACTAATTAACCATAGAAATTAAGAAAATGGGAAATACTTAAGGTGAGAAAGAGCTATATCGAAAGATAGACTGAGCGACATTAAAAAGAATTTATTTTATTTACAAAAAAAAGATACTTTTCGTAAAAGAGAGAAAATCCGTAAGAAAAAGCGAGACTGTGATTCTGTCAAAATTAATTACTGTCATGATAAGAGTGACGCGCCAAACGAAACAGAATTCTGAAAGAAAAACAAAACCAACCAACGCATGTGACCATAAAAAAGATTTCAGCTTGAGACCACCACAGAGAATAGATATTAATTATCTTTCAGAGATATGATTTAACTTTAATTGCTGGTTCCAGTGAAGAAAGCCCTCTGGTATATGCACAAATCTTTGCATGAGAAGGAAAATCGAAAAGGGAATCATTATTATTACTTATTCAAACTGTTGACGTCCGACATAGCATCTCGAAAATGAGCATCTGGTGATAAGAGAATTTTAAGGCATGAGAAAAATAAAGAATTTAATTATCAGGTAAAAATGACCACCCAGTTAAAAGTTGACTAGTGGAGGAATCAGGTGTCAGGTTTTGACAATGATTAATGAGTCGGTAGAGGTCCGGGCTAAGTGGATTTGGGTGTCCCCAAAATCAAGATGTGATAAGAATTAATTGGCAATGAGATTTGTAAATGTTTTGGCTGAAGGAAAAGGAAAAAGAAGAAAAAGGATTTTGTAAACAAAATTCTGGAATAATTCTAAGAGGGCAAGTCTAGCCCCACCCACACTGCCGAGAGATCATTGGCCAAGTGGTAGCATGGGTGATAGGCAGAGGTGAATGTATGAGAAAGATGGAGAAGTTGTTAACACCCACTGAGGGATTAGTATGAGATACCAATGTGAGAGAGGAAGAGTCTAGGAGGATAACTCTCCTCCGACCTTCCCTCATGGATGAGGGAGGAACCCCCAAAGTGGAAAGTGATTAATCTTCCAAAAATGGGAAGTAATTAATTTTCCTGGCCTAAGAACAAAGAGAATTCTTGTTGGGAATTAAGAATTATCAAGTAACCCAAACCATGTCAGGCCCCCACAATGGGTTTTTGTCAGTGTCTATATAAACGAACGTCTCGAGGCAGTTCCAGTCAGTTTGAGTTTAGAGTTCAAGAAGTTGGAGAGTGTTGCCTCGCAGAAGTTGACCGAAAGATTTCCACATCCTCTCGACTTAGTCTTCCTACCAAAAGCAAGTTTTTATTGACAAACGACTTAAGATACCATAACTCGCTTAAGAAACACAAAAAGTGTCACAAATCCATAGAAACGGGCTGGGAGAGAAACACACTCCTTATTCAACAGAAGATAGATAAAGATAATTGTTATTTCTCAACATATTTGAACCTCTTGAGTTTGTTTTATTTTTTTTTTTTACTTACGCTTGTGCGGTATCACCTTTACCCCAGATTCAGCTTGCACTATGGCCCAACGCCTGATTGATTTCGTCTACCTAAGATCAAAGTCACAACGTGGGTAAGTTAGACTTGAGATCAAAGTCGTTACTTTGGTGGTCAAGCGTTGGAGGTGAGCTGAGAACGACAAAGCTGGTATCGAACCGGAAATGACCAGATCGACCGGGACACAGGCTGGTGGCAGCAACAAGGAGTCAACTCCAAAACACTGGTGGAAGAAACCTTACAGCTTTGCGCCGCAACTGGGAGTTGACCACGGGCCGACGGCGCAGTGTCATATATTGACATCGCGGACAGTGGATGTCACATATTGGCGCAGCGACCACACCAGTGGGTGTCACATATTGGTGCTGGACTGCGACCGCAACCACTGGTAGGTGTCAAACGTGTTGGGCCTTTTTTTACTACTGCTACTGCCACTTACTACTCTACTGGCCCTACTGTCCTGATTGGTATCACTTAGAATGATGAAATATCTTTCTCATCTTTCATCACTGGTGGCAAGGTTATGTTTAGAATGATGAAATATAATCATTCTGGATCATAACACATATGAGGGTGGATTTATAAGCAGGTAGATTGTTCTGTAATCATTGTATTGAGTTATTTGTTGCCCAGAGTTATTCCATCCTGGGTATGATGATAAACTACATCTGCATCCTGGATAAGATGATAAACTATGTCCCACAGCAAGGCCTCTGATCAGGAGGTTTTGATGGGTGTGGAACCACCTCAGGGTGGTAGCACCTGTTAGGGTCCCAGCTATGGGCAAATAGTTAACCCCCAAACTGGGGTCAAAACTTGTAGAAATATGTTTGTAGAAATACATTTTTGTAAAAAATTATTACCACCAATGAATTTTTGAAGAAATTATTACTAGCAATACATTTTGAAAAAATATATTACCAGCAATAAAAATCTTGTCAGCATTAAATAACCCATTGAAGTTGATATGCCATAAAACACACCAAACCAAACCAAACCCAGAGTTATTTGAAAAAATAAAGAATGCAATAAATATGGAAATATTTTACTAAGAATAAAGATTAACATTATGACTTTATTTTTCAGTATCTAGAGGAAAAAATCATGGTGTTATGCTCCAGAATGATGATGATATTTCATCATTCTAAAAATAACCTTGCCATCAGTGATGATAGAAAAGAAGGATATTTCATCCTAATCTTCATCATTATAAAAACGACCCTTCCACCACAAGAAAGTCAGTAGAGTAGACTAGAGTACCTGTAGCAGTAGTCAGTAGACAAGTAGCAGTACAGAAACACATATCTAACCAGTGCTCCATGAAGATCAAAAACAGACGATTTCCAAACGCCATCCTCACAAATGAAATTCTCAGAACCAAACCAAGTAAGCACTGACTTTTAAACAAAAGAGACACTGAGAACATTTTTACACACACCATACCAATATTCTGTAATTCACATCACAAAAAGAAAATACAAATTCTTGTTATATTGCCAACATGTGTCTCAAGTTTTTATTGTGGTTATGGCTGTACGTTTTATGCATTTTAATTCCTGTCATTTAATATCCTACCCCGTTACAGTCAACAAATAATAACAAGGGGGGAAATAATACATCAACACCCAACTTATAACCTCCGCGAAAATGGCATTCAGTGCAAAAAATATACAAACATGTTTATTGTCCCTATTTTTTTTATTGTTTATTTTGTCTCCTAATAGCAGAATTTCCTGTGTAATCATAAAAATGAATGAAAGGTCTGCCATATTTATTTAGTAAATCTTGTAAATTCAAAGATTGCATCAAAAGCAAAATAAGCACACGAAAAACAAGTTGCTCTGAGCAAAAATTAATGAAGCAAGGGAAGTAACTTATAAATTTAGAGATCATATTCGAACAAAGAGTGACCTTCTATTCTACATTTATTTTGAGCTGACATTGACAATCGAACATTTAGGTAATTCGTTGACAACTTTTTTTCTTAAAATTGTTACTTTACGCTTATGTAAAAAAAAAAAAAAAAAAAAAAAACTTCTATGCAGTATTTTTTAACAAGATCGTAACCACCCGCAGCATAACAGTAAAGAAACTAATCTGAATGCCAACTAGATTTATCTCCCTTGACCTCATTCGTGAAATGAAGACTGGGTCAAATTACAAACAATCCTGAGTCAGAACCTGTTACTTACTTAATTTGGTATCGTAGATACAATAATTGCAGAAACAATTTTTTCGTTCAAAATATCAGAAAAAAAAATGTTGAAAGTTTTATTCCTGTTATTAATGTTTGTGTTTCTATCTTATTTACAATAAAAGACAACTTATCTGCTCTTCATCCCTGACTGCTAAATTAAACACGAAATTCCAACAATTTCTGAAAGTACTGTATAAAAAACAACCCATATAAGCTATATTTTATCTATGCTACAAGAGTATTTAAAATTGTACTAGATTTTTTTAAATGCTATGTCCCTCCATCATTTCCTTTCCTTTATTGTCTGTTAATTGCCATGACGTCTTGGGAAATATAGTGGCTCAGTTTTTTGTTTCCTTCTCTGTGGTTTTGAATTCATAATTGTTCTAAAATAGCTGCTGTCCAAAACTAGAGAATCCAATCTGCCCTGTGATTAGGACATTAATGCAAAGTGAAAACTTTCAGGTCAGATTGACTTGAACAAGATGTAGTTTCCCCTTTCCTTTCTTCCTAAACTGTACAAACATGTGGTTACATATGTATGTGTATGTACACTACTTCTCACATTTGCACACATACACATATATGTGTATATGTTTTGGTATCTATAAAATCTAAAAAGATGTATATGAAAATGTCATAATGTAGAACTTCCAGACCATATAGGTAACAAGTATGAACTTACCTGTAATGCTTGTAGTAGGTTTTGTTTGCATAAAGCAACAAAACTGAGTGATATGCAAAGTTATCATACTAGAATATTGGAATGGAATTAAATACTAACAATTCATGTCACATTTGTGGACAAGTGCACTCTGACAGTTACTTTGGGGAACAGACTCAATTGCTAAAACATTAACCTCTTCCAGTCTAGTGTCAACCATTATACTTTTTACATATTCTCATAATCTGCACTTCTTTCCTCCTCCTCTTACATTCATACAGCAACCTCTTTCAGTAACCCTCTACATTGAGTGGCTCTTAAGCCTTGTATTGGGTGATCAATTAGTAAAAAATATATATATTTATATTGATAGATGGAAATCTCATTATGTATGTGGATATTTGTTGTATTTATCCATATATAAATAATCTCATCATTTTTGATGGATACTATGACAATAAATAAAGTCCACCTTTTCTTTCAAAGAAATGAAAATGACTCGTTGTCTATTCATTTTTATCTACTTTTCATGCCATTTACCTTTCCTCCTTCACACCCTCTTTTTTTCCTCCTCCTGTCCTTTGCATACCCAACTTAGTATTATTCTTACTCTGTGAGTAATTTCAAGTGCCTAATTACTAAAACCTCAGCAGCAGCAGCTGGCCGGACCAACTTCAGCAGCAGCAGCAGCAGCAGCAGCAGCTGAACATTATATGCGACAGTCCTTTTAAGGACTACTTAGGCCACATGATTTCAGGACTACCTGGCCACGTTATATGCGATAGTCCTTTTAAGGACTACCCTGGCCACATGATATGCGATGGTCCTTTTAGGGACTACTTGGCTACGTTATATGCGATAGTCCTTTTAAGAACTACCTAGCCACATTATATGCGATAGTCCTTTTAAAGACTAACTAACCATCTTACATGCGATGGTCCTTTTAAGGACTACCAAGCTGCATTCTTACATGACTGTAATTCTAAGGACGAACAGGCTACCCCAGCACTGTCTACGCCGATCTTCTCTCTTCAAAAACACCAACGCACTTTACAAAGGGCGAACATCTGGGGATCGACTGGACCTCGAATACCGCTGTTCCATCTGTCTGCCTCCAAGCTGCCACCTTGAACCCTAACAACGATCCTTCAACTGGCACTCCCTGACTTCACAATCGAACTACAAACAATTCCTGTACATACATTTGTCCAGATCAACAAATAAATCTGACGTTTGTAATTTTAAATATCTGACTCTGTTCCTCATTGTCTTAGCTGTTCACACCTTTCTTCGTAAAGCTTGCAGGGTTGACATCCTTATCGGCCCCGCAACAGTCTCTATACACTTTATATCTGTTCTACTTAACATATGCAAATAGGTACAATCTTATTTACCAATCCACTACACCTCCCTGAACAAAAAGGGATTTAATGCCTTTGGTTGTTCTCAAACTTCTATAACCTCTTTTCTCCTCTCTTCCTTGAGGTTTATGTCCAGTTCTTTTTAATGAAGATCTTAGTCTCATTTCCTATTCTTCTGTGTTTGAGCCACTCCCGCTATCATTCATAGGCTTGTCCTATCTGAAGGACTCATCTTTTTTCTCTGTCAAGGCCTTTTTCCATCATGACATCTTCCACTTCAATTCTGAGTTTTAACTTGTTTAAATGGGCCATTGGGCTTTTTCCTTTCTTTGATATAATGGCCATGTTATGTCCCCTTTCCATGATGAAATTAGCTCTCTCAGGATTTTCTACTTTATCTTTCTTATACCATGACTTGCTTATTAAATTATTGATTATTTAGAATAGATATCATTTTATTTCTAATTAATTTATCAGAAAATTAAAATTTTCTACTGACTCGTATCTGATCCTTCATCACTTGTTGATTTTCAGGTAACTGAACACTGACTGGAGTAGGCGATTCATCTGCTTGTAACTGGAAAAGATAAAGAAAACATATTTACAATTGAAATCCAATTAAAAGAGCATCCTGGGTATGACGATAAACTATATCCAACAACAAGGCCTCTGATTGGGAGGTTTTGAGAAGTGTGGAACCACCTCTTAATTGCTGTTGCTCCCAGGTCCACCCTGACCCAGGGTGAGAGCATTTGTTAGGGTTCCAGCTATGGACAAATAGTGAAACCCCAAACTGTGGTCAAAACACTATGAACGTAAAAAAAATACATTTTTATAGTAAAACATCCAGCAATAGATTTTAATAGTAAAAAAAATGTTTACAGCAATAGATTTAATAGTAAAAGCAAAAATTACCAAAGCTCCCAAGAAAATTAAATTTCAGCATTAAATGATACATAAGGAGTTGATCTACCATTAAACAAACAAACCAAAACAATTGAAAGAGATTAGATTCCATCTATACATTTACAATTACTGATAGATAGATAGATAGATAGATAGATAGATAGATAGATAGATAGATAGATAGATAAAGTATTACAATTATGTGTGTGTGTGTGCATATATATAGAAAGGAAAGACACAGAAAGGCGAAAAGAGATAAACAAAAAGACAGATGCAGAAAGTGACAATTTTGATATTGACATTAGTCTTACAAACAAATACAATGAAAAATAATAATAAATGAAAACTTTAAACATCTGAATAAATTTACATTTATTGAATATCTATTTACAAATAATAAACAAAATATCTTTTAAATATCTACTCCAAGAATTGTTTTTTAAGGGGTTTTTTTTTGGCACTAAACATGTACACATATTTATTAGTAAGAGAAATCAAGAATAAAGATCTGATAAAAAAAAACAAAAGAAATAAGATGAAGGAAATACTAGTAAAAAATTAATAATAATTAACAAATTCTTCAAATAAATGGATACTAGTGTCATTCATTCAGAGTTGATCTCATAACTCATATTTTGAAAAAAACAACTTTGCAATTCAAAGTTCAAATTACATTAAATGGTTCCTGTATTCATTTTGGATATATTAAGTATATATAAAAATTCCTAGTACTTTTTCTCATTTTTTTTAACTAAAGAATGAGTACATTATTTACATTATTCAGACTATTGTCCTCATCTTTGTCACCATATTTATTACGTTTCTTCAGGTAGTTGGAACTTAACCCTTTATTTTGCCCACTGGGGTAAACTGTTCTAGTTCCATGTTTAATGGATGTCAGTTATCAGTTATCTCCTGGTAATTACCCTCTCCAAGTTCTCCACTGCCTTATTGAACTCACACTCTTTGGGTCCTGTCACTGTCTAAATATTTTTAGATTGGAAGAATTTTTGAAGATGATAATTATTTACTGATACAAGTCCTACTAATAATTAACTTATAGCTGTGGGGAGATTTGGATTCATACCTTTCCCATAGGTATTTGCGCATAAGTGAATATAACAAACCCAACTGGAATTGGAACTCAGCTTCCCAATTTCTAATTCCGAACTGTTATCCATTACACCACCTGCACATCTAAACTTACAGCACCTGGTATTCCCAAGTGTTAATCCATCTAGGTACTCATCATTATGCCTCTTAATTCCTTGTGGAACACAGGGCCGCAACAACACCTCTCCAATGGATGCAGTTCTGGGCAATCCTCTTCAGTTTGGCCCATGTTGTGCCGGCTGCCTTCCTGGTGAATTTTCATGCATCATACGCTCCACTTTGGAGGACTCTTCCTTGGCGATATTGTTGTTTGAAGATATCGAGGTTTCTGTAACAAGCTAGTTTTTAAGTGAGTAGATTGTTAGCCTACTGCACAACCACCAACCTGGAGGGCCAGGGTGTGTCTTTCATCTGGCTCCTACCCCAGAGACCTGTTGAGCTTGGTTGGACCTGCTAAGGGCCAAAGCCCTCACCCACATAGCTCTCAGGGTCATTGAAGCACGCAATCTATCCTACCACGTCAAGGCAACACACCCTCAGGACGGCATCTAGGTACTGACCAGGCTCAACATTGCTTAACCTCAGTGATTGTATGTCAACTTGTTTCAATGTGATATGGCCGTAAGCCCCCAGCGTCTTGCTAAACTCTTGATCTGATGAGACTATTTAAGAATATGACTTGAGTTTAGAAATACATATATAATTATTACTTGTACACAGGCAATGTCATTTTCTTGAAAATTTTCCAAGAATTTTGTGAATAAATCTCAATTTTTCTTTTTTAAATTAACCAAATTTGTTGATTATGATTCAAATTTTGATTACTCATAAGCATGTTTTTCATTTGTTATCTTCATCCCTCAAATTAAGAAAATTATTTTCACTTGCTTATATATGCCTTCTTATTTACATGTAAAACATATATGAATTTCTGAACTAAAGTCATGTTCTTGTCAGATCAAGATTTTCATGTGGATGCCATGCATGGTGCTATTTGCATTCAGATGTATCTATACTACCAGTTATATACGACAGCTTTTTCAGGTCAATAGTTAAAAATGGCTTTGAGCAAATGAAGTGTGGAAGTCTCTGCAAAGGCCTTTCCTCAAACCTCATTGACTGGTGCTACAGAATCACGAACAAAGGACTTGTGGGAAATTATTTTTAAATCAATAAATAAAATAATAATAATGAATAATAAAAAAAAAGAAATATATTTTCCCATAATGCTAAGAGTAAAGGAACCAGAAATATGAATACTCCAGATGGCTTCATCAAACTCCATTAGGCAGTGCTGTTGAATTTATACAAACATTTTCCTGCTTCACTCACTTTCTACCCCTTGCTCTAAGATGTAACAACGTCTAGTAATTATGCTCTTGCCGGGGAACATTAGTTTCCCCAGTCCACTGACAACTGAAATCAGTTTTCACTTTCCAACACATGACTGAATGCCAAATGTTTCCTTATAAGGAAATGGTTAATATTAGGATTATCCTGTCAGAGCTTATTTGGTAGAATTGAAAAGATTTGCATGTCTCTTCCAAAATACTCCAGCATGAAGTAAATCAACTTTTTCTTTGGTTGTTCTACCTCAGCACAAGGCTGACTTGAGCTCAACCATTATAATGATGCTTATCCTTACTTACCCTAACTTCTGGACCACAAAAAGGAAAATGAACATACCATAACTATGCTTAAATCTTTCAACAATAAAGTAAGTACAAGCTTTTCTTTGGTTGTTCCAATTTTATGTAAGGCTGACTTGAGCTCAACCATTAATACTATGCATATACTTACCATAACTTGTAGACCAAAAGGAAAACAGTCATACCCAAGAGTCATTGAGAACTTTGTTTCACTACAGTTTTTATAGAAAAGAGAATAAACAGTTCATGGTAGAAACTCAAGTTTGATATGCTTCTTCTTTAATTGTTTATATATGAACATGCACCCATTTTACAATATAGACCAAAGAAATAACCATTTTAATTCTATAAACTGTACGGAAGATAACAGAAACCAAATCACTTGATGACCTTCAGCAACAACAACAACTAAAATGGGTAGCATATGTAACTCAAAAGAAAAATAATAACATAATCAAGGTGTTGACATTCCACATTACCTGAAGCAAAAGGCAAGGAAGGAAACCCCCATCAAAACTGGAAAAAAACAATATCATCTACTGGACTTGAGAAACTTATTTACCTGAAAAATCTTTTAATAGAAAGAGTTTATAAATTTCACTGACTGAATGCCAAATGTTTCCTTATAAGGAAACGGTTAATATTAGGATTATCCTGTCAGAGTTTATTTGGTAGAATTGAAAAGATTTATATTCCTTAATTTACATATTTTCAACAATAAACAACATAATTTTCGGGCCTTTTTGTAATGTCCAGCAAGCTGAATTTAGATCATTTATAGATAGTTTGAGCCTCATACTTATGGCCCTATGCCAAACTAAGATACGCTTGACGAAATGAAAAAAGAGAAAAAGTATAAAACCAATTAAAGTGCCAAGAAAAACGAAGAAAAGTTAAAATAACCATGACCTTCTACGCGGCAGCACGAACACACACACAATAAAAAAAAAAATCAACCTTGTACCAATGAAAAGTGCATTACAAAAAAAAGAAAAACGAGAAATATAAACAGTCAATTACTGATACCTCCAGATGAATGGATGGAGTGATTGCTAGAGGGTGTGTCTATGAAACTCTAGAGTCAGAATACTGGAGGTAACACCAATCAGCTAAATGACAAACTTTATTAATTCGAATAATAATCAACGACAGAATTCTTAAATCGTGGAAAAAGGGAAGTAACTCGTAAGAAATATTACTGCAAAGGGAAACAACTGCTTCAACACTGACCCTTTTTCAGTGCATTAAGAAAGATTTTGTTATAACGAACACAACACAAGATTGAATATTTCATTATAGACATATTCTAAACTCTCTAGAGCAGCGTTTCTCAACCTTTTTACCCTTGCGTAACCCTTAAAATAAATTACATGTCTCAAGGAACCCCTGCGCACAAACAAACTCATTTTATTTTCATCGTAGTTCACGTGGTAAATATACCATATTTGATAACTGGTTTAAGGAAAAATTAATACTTCTTTGTCAAATTTTTCGGTAAAGCTAGATAAAATTCATACTGTTCATTTATAATACTTCATCAGGGAGTTTTCATTCGCACAAAAAAAATCTAAACTCAAACGTAAAAAATAAACATAAGTAATAACCAATATGTAAGCAGAATGTAAAAACAGTAAATGAAATTAAATAAAAAGTCAAAAGTGCATTAGCTTATCTCACCTGTTCTCGTGAAACTCTTGTGGACCTTTTGAGGGACCTAAGGGTTCCGGAGAACACCAGTTGAGAAACACTGCTCTAGAGTAATCATTCTTTAGATATAAAATTTTACTACCTCCACCAAGGCTCACGGTAGAGGCTTATAGAATGAGGTATGATATTGTGACAGGAATGCTAATTGTGTTTAGGTAGAAAATATGTGTCTCCTGGTATTATTTTTCCAATAACAATTATTGCAGACTCCAATGTGAGTCCAAGTAAAAAGAAATAACACAAAATAATATAAAACAAACAACAATGCATGTATTAACAAAAAAATCACAATTACAATAAAAGAAGAAAACATTTAAAGACTACCTAGAAAACATTTAAACTAGAGAATGTGTTTTGTGTGTGTGTGTGTGTGTGTGTGTGTGTGTGTGTGTGTGTGTGTGTGTGTGTGAAATTTGTGTAGGCATACATGATAGACACGTGTGTGAAACAATACAAATAAACCTTAACAGAAAGTAAGACATTAAAAATGAGTGTGCCCCAGTGGGGAGCACTTTTTCCCCCCACATGCGACATCATCTTATAGCTAGAGTTGTAAAAGAGGAAAGAGAATGAGTGAGAATATCATTACCTATTTATAGGCGTAAGGTGCATCTCTTTTTTTCAGAAAGTCAAATGGGATAACCCACAATATGAACATTAGAAGAGGTAAAAAGCAATGAAGATTATGAGAATAAATATGACGGATAACAACTGACCTTTGACTTAAATAGATTAAGATTGTAATGTTCAGGAAGCATTCATGTGGGAGTTTATTCTCAAGAAAAATACGTCTGAGAGGAACTTTCTTTTTACATAAAGAATACAAGGGAAATGACTCCATAGTATAGTATGGTGAATCCGAGCAGTAAAAGTTTGAACTGGAGAATTTACAAGTGGAGCTCATCTGAACATTTACCTCAAAAATAATGATAGAGTAATGATAAGCTTGCAAAATTGCTTCTCTAAGAAGGATTATGTAGAATGGAAAATAGCTCATCCCTAAGCCAAATGATATTGAACTATATCAAGGCTGGAAAGTGAAACTTCCAGCTTTAGCCCAGATATGGCAATAATTCTCCATTTTTCATCTAAAATGATTCTTGTAAAGATAACTCATAGTAGGAGACAGGTACTTTCTGAAGAATTACAAGGAGCCAACTATTTTGTTAGTTTCTTTAACAATTGATTGTATATGAGTTCCACAAGGTCTGGAGTGAACTTGAATCCCAATAGACATCCAATGCATGAAGTCTTGTTGAGAATGCAACTATTCATTGTAACAAGTGAAAGCTCAAGATCTGATTAATGATGATGATATGTTACTAGCTTGGTTTTAGAGATATTAAAAGTTACAATAATGTTTTTTTCCTGTTGAGCTGTCAGTGGAGAGATCAGCTGTAAGGCTCTGAACTTCTTGATTTTGGTTGGTACTTCCATAAACTGCAGCATCATCAGCATATATGGGAAGAGTATTTAAGCAAAGTTTCTAGACAGACAAATGAGTAAATAGAGAAAGATGGCAACAGACAGCAACATTTCTCATCTTAAAAGAAATTCCCTTACTCATTCACCCATCTTCCTCAATAAGCTACGTGACATTGACACTTTCTTCCCCACTTTTTCCCTTACCTCTTCTTTCTCACACATACATGCAAATAAAAATATTTACTTGTAAAAAAACACAAAAATAAAAATATCTTATATTTTTATATTTAAACACCTTTGTTGCGGGTTGATTCAAATCCGCAGCATATGGTCACTAATTATCTGAGAGTGTTCCTATGCAGATTGTTAATATAAAGCAGAAAGAATGTGAGGCTCCGTATCTTCAAATTGATTAAAATTGTGTTAAATTCTTAGCATAGAGCAATGGTCCCTAAACTTTTTTTTCCCTGGGATGCATTTTCAGAATGAAAATTTGCTTGCATCTCACCAGATTTTATGTGATAAAAAGTACATTTAAAAATAAAAAGCAGACAGAGGGTCAAAGAGAGATAACTATCATTGATAAGTCTCTCCTCCAATTCGTAGGGCCTAGTTACTATATTCTTAATACTTGATATAATGCAAAAATATCACATTGATAAAATTGGTCAATAATAATTTATACTGGGACTCGTACATGTGATTACAAGTAATCCATAATAATATTTTAAATTTTGAAATCATATTTATTTTTGGCACATGAATTTTTTAAAACTGTTTCTTAATCTTTGATTGTCTTTCAATCATTCTGCTTTATCTGCTATCCTCTTCCATCGCACATATGAGGTGCACAGCACCATTTGGGAACCACTGACATAGAGAAAGGAGGAGAAAAAGATTATGCTTTACAGAGAGAAGAAACAAAGTTACATTGAATGAAATAAGAAAATAGTTACAAAACTCAAAGAATAAACAAGTGTAATTAGTGAAAGCTAAAAGAAAGCTAACCATTATATATTGTGCCCACTGAAAATAATATTTATCATAATTATCATTATGATATTATGATAATAATATTACTCAATAAATCAATATAGGTTCAATGGATTTATCTCATAGATATTATTATTACTACTATTATTATTATTTCTTCCTTTGATTTCTGTTGTATACAAATTTCCTTCTGGTTCCCAACCAGAGGCTTAATGTCAGAAATGGCTTCATGACTTTTTCCACTGATCATTTTTGTTAAAAAAAAAAAAAAAAAAAGATCACACACATTTTTACATAGATAAATATATTCATAATGTGTGAGCTGTACTTGTGAGTACAATTTTTTGTATTTCTTTAAGGTATAGGCTACCCAGAATTCCTTCAATGAATCTATCAGAACATTTTCCAATCAATCCACGGGCTCCAACAACAACTGGGATTATTGATGCCCTCATGTGTCACATTTTTGAGATTTTCACTTCAAGATGCTTGTATTGTAAAATTTCATGTGAAAATGTACAGAAATTGCAACAAAAATAAAAACATTGGGACACTGAAAGTAGTAGCCATTTTCTGGCTTTAAATTACATGCAGTGTGTTGATCAATCAATCTGATGATAACTTTCTTTCTCTTTTTCTTTCCCAGCTACCCTTATGTACCCTGGTACCACAATATCAATAATCCAACACTGTCTTCCTTCTGGAGAGTAATGATATCATTATCATCATTATAACAACAAAATTATTATTACTTTATATTACTATATAATATTATTGATATTAAAATATGACTGCAATATAACAGTAATCATAAAATTTACTTAAGCTAATAGAGATGTCACAAGCTGATAGAGATATTGACATTGGTCTCCAAAAAATCAAAAGTCGCAAGTGATAGAGCACATTTTCTAAGCAGGAAAATATCTACCTGAAGATTTAATTCATCATCCACACCAAACACTGAAGAGAATTTCAATTCAGCTGAATTAATTTTCATTTTTTCTTTCTTCTTTTTCAGTTGAACTTTCTTCTGGCTTTCTTCATTGGACAGAGATTGCATTGTTTTGACTTTCCCTGAGCTTGGCATTTTCTTCTGTGGCAGCTGAAATACAAGACATGTATTAAAAATGCATCAAATCCTCATTCAAAATTGATTTTCAAAGCAAGCAGACCCCTCTCCCTTTCAAAGACTAACACAATCCAGTCTTCTGACATACATTCCCAAACATTTAACTAAACCAAGCTGATTAAATATCCATATACAAGTGATATTGTTATTTCTCTTTAGATTTTTTTATAAAGAAAACTTTTGAAAGCTTTTAATTCAATAAAATGTGAAACAGGTTTAAAATAAAAGAAAAAATGATAACCAATAAGTAAAATAGATTGAGAGAGAATAAATGGATTCTTGTATTCTGTAAAAATACACTCCCATAACTCAGGAGATCATCTTTCATGGCTGATGTTTTAACCAATTAGGTTAACAAATCTTAGGACTAGACAGATTTCTCAGCTCTTAGTTTTCTGCCAATGTCTTTTTTTCCAATTCTATTCCATGCTGTGTTGTTGACTATCTAGCAACAGTCATAATGTTACAAATATTTTGAAAGATTTTTTTTTCTTTTCTTTATCTTCTTTCACAGCATTCTTTAACTCAATGGGTGTGCTGTGAAAGGAAAAAAGAAAGGAAGGCACCTTGGAAGTTTGACAGGCTTCCGACTTACATTTTGAAATATTTGACCTCATGTCTGATTAAATCAAGCTTATTAAATATCAATATATGAGTGATATTGTTATTTCTCTTTAGATTTTTTTATGAAGAAAACATTTGAAAGCTTTTAATTCAATAAAAAAAATAGGAAACAGGTTTAAAATAAAAGAAAAAAATGACAATCAATAAGTGAAATAGATAAAATAAGTAAAATACATCAAGAGAGAATGTGGCTTATCCCACTTGACTTTGCTAAAAAAAAAAACATTGCTAGGGAGCACTCTTTAAGCCTATAAAAATGTGTGCATTTTTCTCCCTATTCTCTTTTACATCTTTTCAATTCTGGCATTAAGATGTCGTCAATGTACAGTTGGAACACAGCCACTAGGCTCGCATGCATTTTTCTTTCTCTCTCTTGACTTTTGAACTCTTTCACACACGTGTCTATCATGTATGCCTACACAAATTTCACACACACATATTGTTTTGGGTTACTCATTTTTACTTGAACTCACATTGTGTCTGCCAATATTGTATATGGGATAAATTTCCTGTAACTGTTTACTATCCAAAGTGTTGAATCCCACAACATAATGGTGACTAAATATTTACCCAAACATTCCAGCTTTTATTAGCTTTTATTCCAATTCTAATCATTGCTTTTTAAAACAATAAACATTTCCAAAGAGTGAAGGTAGTTAAAATAAAAGTGGTGTCATGGGAAAAACCATCTTTTTGACACTCTGTCTTATTGTGGGCACAAAGATCCATGTTTGCCAAAACACACATATACAGAGTGCAGCAAAAATACCTCCCACATAATGGTAAAACATTAATAGTGGTGTCTTCATCTAGCAAATGTCTTACCATTATGTGGGAGGTATTTTTGCTGCACTCTGTATTAATAATATATTAACATATATATATTTATATTATAAGCTAATCACATAGATATCCAGCAACAATTCTTTTTGTTTACATAGATTTGATAAAAAAGTCTCCAGGAAATTCAGATAAAAATTTGAAAGCAAATGACTCAACACACACAAAACATACCTTACTGTTAGGTCAAAGTGCATTGCTGATTATTTATAGTGAATGCAAAATAATAATAATAACTCCCTTCACCCAGTCCCTTCAAATTTGGTGGACTGAGGAAGAAGGAAAGAAATTTGCGAGCCTTTGTGAGATTTTTGCCTTTCACAGAAATTAGCCAGTGAGCCAAGAAGAAGAATATTGTCCTGGCAAATTGTTTACTATACAGCTATGGAAAGTCTCATCAAATTTGAAATGACTGTCATCTCTATTGAAGTTGAGGCTTATGGCCACATCATGTTGAAACATTGGTTCCTGTATGATCACTGAAGTTAAGTAACATCGAACCTGGTCAGTAGCTAAATGGGAATACCAGGTGTTGTAAGTGTGAATGTGGTGGTGTAATGGATAATGGCTCAAAATTGTTAATCAGAGAGCAGAGTTCAAATTTTTGTTGATTTTGTTATATTAACTTATGCGCAAATACCCTTGAAAATAGTATTAAGCCTCCTTTTATCCCTCCAGCTATGGGTTAATTAGTAATACTTGTATCACTAATAAATTATTATCTTCAAAAAAAATTCTTACAATCTAAAAATATTTTCTAACTTTAAATAACCTGTAAACAGTTAATAGGCTGTAGAAAAGAAATCAGTGAAATATTGATTGGCTACACAGGCATGTCTTTTAGATTTATTTACAGTCTCTCGAATATAAGCCGGAGAAAATAAACCATCAACATCATTGATAAGATACATAGGTATTATTAGGTGTGTCATAATTTCCAACCCTCACACTAGGACAGTTTTTAACTTTTATTCTAAGTTTAGATTCCTTGTATAATAAAGTGTTTTCATAACCAGATGCCCTTTAAGTTTCAGGGATCACACACACACATCAAATCAAGAACTATGTTAAAAATCTACAATTCTCTATAATTTGAATTTAAAATTGGCATCTTGCATCAGTAAACTACGTTATTTTTCTAAACAATTCATTCATAATCAACTGTACTCAAATTTGACTAAATTTCAAGCTGCTCTCCTACTGACATCATTTTAGCTTCTTAAAGTAGACTTAAGGATTTACCAGACAACTAGAAGTGAACTGACTTTGAAGAAATATGAGATTTTAATGAGCTCCATATGCTGAACTCATTCCAATCAGCAGGTGTGACAGGTAAATATAACGATAAACAAGTGCATAAAACACTGGTTTTTATTAAATTGGAGGTTGCGAGTTATATCCTTCTGCTTGGTAGTACACACACACACATGCACACACACACTGTTGTAATAGAATGTTCCACTCTCCTTATTACCTATTGTGGACTGACTATATCAGTAATATATATAGTGTGCACAAGACATACCTGTGTCCATTTGTCTGACTGGATTCAGGAAGTGTTAGTCGACTCCCTGTCTTTCAGTAGTGTAATCTCTTGTACAACAAACCTCTCTTCTTCCATCTACACCTGTGTTGCTGTTTCTTCCACTCGAGTACTACCTTTGTCTGTTTGTATTATTAAGGATACATCACACACACACACACACACACACAGTCAGATTGTGACATTTTAGGGCCTCTAAGCTAATGAAATTGTCAGCCCCCCATCACCCTCATACAGAGAGTTACCCTCTAAATCGCCCAAACCCAATATTTTGTCAAACTTAGACTTTCATGCCTGCAAAAAAACGAAGTGTTAAAAGGACAGTTATTCTTCTAAGCAATTCATTCATAATCAACTGTACTCCAATTTGACTAAATTTCAAGCCGCTCTCCTACTATATCCTTCTGTTTGGTAGCACACACACACACACACACACACATGCACACACACTGTTGTAATGAAATGTTCCTACTAACTATTGTGGACTGACTATATCAGTAATATACGTAGTGTGCACAGGCCATACTGGTGTCCGTCTGTCTGACTGGATTCAAGAAGTGTTAGTCGGCTACCTGTCTTTCAGTAGTGTAATCTCTCTTTCTTCCATCTACGCCTGTGTTGCTGTTCCTTCTACTCGAGTACCACCTTTGTCTGTTTGTAACCTTATTAAGTACACACACACACACGGTCAGATTTTGGGGCCTCTAAGCTAATGAAATTATCAGCCCCCCACCCCCTCATACAGAGAGTTACCCTCTAACTCGCCCACACCCAATATTTTGTCAAAATTGGACTTTCATGCCCGCAAAAAAATGGAGTGTTAAAAGGACAGTTTTTCCCATTGACTCCGCTATTATTTTAACTACCTTCACTACTTCGTAATGTTTATTGCTTTAAAAATAATGATTAGAATTGTAATAAAACCTAAACCTATAAAAGTGAATTTATACATTTTATTTGTTCTTGAGAATTGATAACAAAAATAATAAACACTATTTATTTATTATATTGTTTGTTGGATTGATTGTCAAAACAGCTAATCATCAATTGATTTTAACTTCTTTATAAAATGGTAAATAAGGATTTCCTTATAGTTGGCTCACATTATTTAATAATGTTTATAAATTTATGAATATTTCATATTTCTTTTTTATTCATGATATATTTTAGGGACATTTAGATAGCTCGAATAAACTTATTGTAAATTCTTTAAATAAACTAGAATAGCTATCTTTTGTTTGTCAATAAAAATATTCTTTAAGAAAAATACCACTATTTTAATATTTGTTGCAAACCAAATTAGCACAGATTTCAACATAACTGTAGTAAAAAAAACAAAAAAACAGATTTTTTATAACCAGCATTAACTAAGCTTGAGAGACACTAGGATGCATCCTATACTAGTCTATAGGATAATCTAGCTCTACATACATACATTATCTATATATTTATATTATATAACATGGCTTAAGCAACTAGAAAGAAAAATGTAAAATTAAACAAAAAGTTTATTTACATTCAGACTATTGCCCTCATCTTTGTTGTTATCACAACATTTCAACCGTTGTGCCCTCCGCCTTTCATCAGGTGTATATCGATTTTGGTAACCTACAGTGAATTCTGAACTCAAACCCTTTCTACAGAAGTAGCCTGTTCTCATTTCACTGTCCATGTCTAGGGGTATCTCATCTAATTCTTATTTTTAGTACTGTTCAAGTACTAAAAATAAGAAATTTAAGGTAACCACGAACAAGATGAATACTACTGAATAGTTTAAAATGGTCATTTTACCACAAGTAGTACAAAGTTGACAAAAAAAAAAAAAAACGAGACTTTTTTTAACCAAATGTGTTAGAAAGAAGGGAAAAAATTTTTTAAATAATTGAAAAATACTTTGTTCTTTCCTCTTAATAGCATAAACATTTTGACGATAAAACTTTATTTTTATTAAGTTTGGGGTCTTTTACATTATGCTATACTGATTTTTAGCGAATTTTTAGAGGTACCTAAATGTGGCAAGTTGAGTATGAAACCTTGTGCAAAATTTAAGCAACTCTAGTACTGGGTAAAATCTTATGTTGCTTATTTAAAAACAAAAATCGTGTAATATTCTACCAGATCTTTTGTTAGAAATGAGAAATAGTGTACCTTTTTTTAATTTCAATTTCGTTTTCTAGGTAAACAAATAGCAATCAACTGAATGCTGGCCAAAAATGTAAGGAAAAGCCTATTTACTCAACAACAATTATTTACGCTTTAAAATATTCATCGTCTTTGTTCTAATTAATCTAATAATACAAAAAAGATGAAAACAATGTTTAAAGTTGTTGAAAAACAAACGTTTTCAGCTTAAAAAAGAAAAAGAAAAGAAATACTCACTGAAAGAAGTAGGAATGCATAGAACAAATTCGTGAATGATGCAGTAACCATGGCAACTGGAATTCAGTTTGAGTTATCTCCCTTGCATTAACAAAACAAAAACGTTTACATTTCCTGTTTTTTGTTTTCTTAGATTGAACAACAACAATTGCCTTTCTGCTTTTTAAGTCTAGAAGAGAAAATAAGACAGTAATCATGTGTCAGAAATAAAACATGAAAATAGAATAACCACACTTAAGGAGACTGTAATTGCGTACCGGGAACGGGGGAAAAGTTGTTTATTTATATTTGAAATTTAAATAAATAAAAAAAATGTTTTGTTTTTTTCGTATGCAAGCCAATCACCAAACCAGTCCGCCATGTTTGAAAAGCTGATAATGAGTTTCAAACAATTTATCAGAAGAATATTTTTTAATTCTTTCTACGACAAAAGAGATGTCTAAATTTTTTTAAATATTACATTGGTTGGTCTAACGAGAAAAACGCTATAAAAATGTTGGGTCAGCTCGCGGTAAAAGCACTTTTTTCTTAAATCCATAAAAACACATTGACGTCTCTTTATTTATTTACTATTTTTCTCGGTCGTAATCACGGTGCCTGGGTATTTGTAACGTAGTCATATTCAACATTTAATAATTAAAATAACTCTGTAGTGACTACTACGTTTGCCACGCCTACAGTTTTCTCATCTGTGATTGGTTAAATAATAAATACTGTTTACCACAGGACAATTTACTAATCGCAGTCATCACACTGAATTTTTCTGCCGTGAATTTCGCAAACATGTGTTGGGGTGCGTAGAATGAACTAAGATTTTTGCTATGGTTTTAGAATATATCAGAAGGAATTTTTGTCAGGTTGCGTGATCTTCTCTTGCATCCACAACAATAAATAATACTTAAAACAAGGCAAAACATGTATGCAATTCAAACAAACAAATGCATTTACATTGTAAATTTTACAATATACAAAATATTATTACAAGATATTATTGTGTTGTTATGTTTGTTAGTGGATGAAGATTTTGTTTGTTTTTGGTGTCTTGGTGTATTTGTATTTACAGTCTATAAGAATTCGTAATTAGTGTTTAAACACCGTTATCATGTTCTTGTTGTTCTTTTTGTATTGTTTAGAATTGAGTCATTCAGAAGTAGTCTACTCTTAACTGTAAGTATGAAATATGTTCAAATAGTATTTACTTAAATTGTAGTGAGCGTTAATAATTCACTTTGGATAAGTAAAGTCTTGCGAGTTGAAGTTCTTTGTATTCACAGAATAATCTTCGAGTCGAGTTTGTGGGTGAGTTAGTTGTGTTTTTTTTTTTGTTTTTTTGTTTTTTTTCGCGCGGGAAAATTATAATCGCAAGTTACGTGGATTTAGCGTTTCCCTGTGTTCGCTGGCCAAGTTACAAACCAACACTCTGTTAGTTATACAAATAACACACAACTAAATTAACTATGCTTTTCTGAATGCAACATTCTATTTCAACATAGAACTTTGAACATTCTATTCAAGAAACAGTCTTAATTACATTTTATCTTATTCAAGCTAACAGATAAAAGGAAACTACTTTCTTTTCACACATTACAAAATTGTTTTGTATTTGTTGATTTTAATATATATTTTATCGTTGAAACAAAAATCGTTTCCTCATTGTTTTTCCTTGATTCAATAATGTATAAATGTTAAATGCTCTTCAACATGCAGCCACGTTAATCTCTTCAACATTGTACACAAGCAACATTTACAACACGTATGTTGATATTTTCAGAGTCATTTTTCCACACAAAAAGATAATCAGCACGACTGATGTCAAAATGGCAAGCAGAAGCCCCAAGAAAACGCTGCCAAAAATAAAAATATAAAATAAGGTTTAAAACGTGCGGACACAGAAAATATCACAAGGTATAAAACTAAATAATTTTCAACCAGTGTTGCTTTAAGTAATTTTTTTTAAACCTCCGTGTTTGTATCTTTTGAAAATGCATATGTAATTTTACAACAGGTCATCAGTCAGTCAACTGAAAAATTCCTGTTGTCAAATATTCACAAAGTAACCCCTTTTATCCAAATAGAAAAACAAAGCAGGCTAGAAATAAAAAGAATTTTTAACGACTGAAATTACGAGGTGGAGTAAGTTGTTTTTGTTCCGCTATACATAAGGGTGAGCAATAACTGAACAGTACTAAATAATAAGAACTAGACGAGATATCCCTAGGCATGTACAGTGAAATAAGAGCAATCTACCCGACTCTGTAGATGAAATAAACAGTTCAGTTCAAAAAGGTTACCCGGATCAACAAGCACATGATGATGTTTTGTTTTTGTCTCAGATATAAAATATTTATTTAAATAAAAATGCAACACTTATCTGCCATTCTGTTTGTTAATTTATAAATGAGAAACAAAAAAGTAAAACTTTTAATGATTTGGAAGTATCTTTTTTTGTTTTATTTACAAAGAATTTAAAAAATAGCCAATCAGATTACTTCATTATACAAGCAAGAACACTGGGGAGTATTATATTCTGATTACCGATTCTTCAAGGTCATTTATAGTTTCTAAAAAAACAATTGTGAGGATCATCTTCGAATAAGGGTTCCAGTGCTTAATATATAGTGATATGGGGCTTAGAGGTTAAAATGAAGAGTTGATTTATTCACGCCAAGAAAATTAATGAAGAATTAAAGAAACTCATGGATAATTTTAACAAATCAAGATAAGGAATTTATTTACAAATTTACACTCTTGAAGTTGTGTCAATAGGTCGTTTCAGGAAAATAAATCAAATTTTTAAACTCTGTAGTTTTATCGTATTGTCATGAAGAGGAAATGTTCATAGAACAGATTAAATTATCTGACACAAAATAATACTCAAAAATGTTTAAAACAAAGGTTATAGAGTTCATTGCTCACAAAGGGGATATATGGTTTGCATACGATCAAAAATAAACGAAGTGAGACAGTTTGAAATACTTAGCTTTCTTGGATTGTTGAGAGAAAATTCTTTGAAGTGCTGTATGCTGTTTAGAGGCCGATAATATAGTAGTAAGAACTTCAACATTGGTCATGGAGAACTGAACGAAACCTTTCACGTGACTTCAGACACTCTTCTCTTTGAGTAATTTAATTTTTCTCCTCATTTTATGCCAAGAAGAATTTTGCATAGACTTGCTACTTTCTTTTCTTTTTCTTCTCGGCTAATTTCTGTGAAGACAATGTTTTCATTGGTGCAAAAACAAGTTCACATATGCTCACAAATTCCTTTCCCGCCTCTTCCTCTAAATTTGAAAGGAATGGGTGAAGAGAGCTATTATTATTTTGCACTCACTACAGCTGAAATGTGATAAGAACAAAGTTGAGGACACTAGTCCGAATGTAAATTCAGACTATTGTTCTAATCTTTTCCTGATAGACGTTTTATGATTATTTTTTTTTAAAATTGATGATACTCGAATGCAACATTGATACACAGAATGTGAATGGCTGATTTTCTAGTACATTGGGATTATAATTAATATTAACACTTCCGCAACATTTGTCTCCATTATTGCAGCTTTAATTGTTAAGGCTGTTGTAAAAAGAATTTCTAGTTCTCCTCTTCAAATCGTCCTTAACTGAACATTCATATTGAATGATTAAATTAAGTAATCATTTTTAACTACAACCCAAGAGACTTGGTATAATCAGTGGTTGTAACTCTTACTAAAGGTTAACGTTTCCACCAATATGGCATCCGAAATAACAATCTGTCATTGCACACATTACCATCTTTTTACCACCTCCCCACGTTCTTTATTTTTTCATCTGTTGCGCTTTACTTCAGTGCAAGATTCTCAAAAATACAATCAATTAAAGCAAGTTATTTTATCAGTTTATGAAAAGACGAAGCCTGACATGTTATGCAAGTTTATAAAAACAAACAAGCCTAGGACACACACAAGAATATTTACAAGAAATGTTAAGAGTGTTTGCGGGATGTATAATAGTATCCGAAACGAAAGTGAAGATGAAACAAACAAGAAAATTTATTAATGACACGTTTTCCTCTTTTTTATCAATGTCGATTTTTGTGCAAATCTATGCAAAAAGCGGAATCACAGAGCTTATCCAGCTTCATAGTTATTTCTAGAAAACCTCAACTTCTAATTGGTCAATAAACACACAAGTGGGTGTTGCAATCCACCCACGCGCAAGTCTTTTTCCAGCGTATGACCAAGTCAAAATTTCCCGCTTTTTTTCTTCGGAGCCTATCACGTGACAACTTTGATTATAAATACCAGACACAAGTTAGTATTTCCTATTAAATGTAGCTGTTAAAGAAATCGCGTTCCGACCCCAGTTCGGGTGGACGCTATGAAAACATATTCACACACACATACGTACAAAACTTAATTACAAACATTTCGAACTATAAAAACTAACATATTACGAATATTCAGCTACAAGCTACAGAAACTAATTAAACATTATGGAACATTCACTCCTTCAACTCAAAGCTAAAAGTTTACTCAACATATTCTCAGCTTTACAGAATTAATTCAACACTCTTACAGTGAAAATTTTGAGTAGCAAGTTCCTTCAACATTTTATGAGGTCAGATAAAAATATTTTATTAGCAAAGACTTTAATTCCAGTCAAAGGGAAGTAAAGCCTATGCTTGTACATCATTACAGACATACATATAAATTCTTTGTTATAAAACCGTTTTGTGACTTATTATTTCATATTTTTTGCATGAAATATAAATTTGAGAGGTCACACCAACTGTCAGGCCTCTACACACGTTTCACTGGAGTGACTGTCTTCCTCAGGTTAAAATGAAAGAAAGTCAAAATCGTGTCTGAGGAGCGCTTTGGCATCTCTGACAACAAGTGGGAATCATAAGTCAAATTATCACCTCCCAATAGAAATGTTATCCATAGTACAACAAATGCTATCATCTATAGCCGCTGCCTATTGTTTCACAAGACTTAAATCTTAATCTGAGTCAATTATGCAAATAGATGATCTAATGTCTTCATCGAAGTGTCCACAGACTTCACTGTAAA